AACGACCCATTCGTATCTCAATGTTCTGAAAAATCGTCGAGAGGAGAGAACGTTCCTCCGCGGCAGGTCGAGATGAAGACAAGCCCCGCCGGAACCTCGAAGGGCCAGACTAGGGACGCATATGAGATGTCCATTCAGGCTTGAGAGGGATCGATGGACTCGATCGCCGGGAACATGGTCGCCAAGGCATCGCCGCTCGGATCGTCAACGAGCTCCAGGTCACGGCCCTAAATACAGGTTGGGCCATCGATTGGGTTCCTCGGACTCGGTATGCCCGAGCATCGGGTTCGTTGAGGTACAGAACGATGACGGTGCGGCACAGCCGTGAAAAGTGGTCGACACGCTCTGGTCACGCCATGACCGGCCGCGGACCTACATCCTCGCCGTCAACGCCCTCTAAGATCAGGTCCATAATTAAAACCGCTCAGGGAGCTTTCGGGTGGTGCAAAGCCGATTCCGTCGACCTACGCCCGGTCAGGTCTCGGGTTGACTGTAGGTCTTCCATGGTCTGCAGTATTCGAGTGTGGCCTCGGCCTCCAATAGCTTAACATCGAATGATGTCGGCTGGGGGGAAGCGGAAAAAGCAGGGAACCTTGATTCAGTGTACAGGAGGAAAAATGGTCCTTGTCGATGGCCGACCCCACCGGCCTTGGCTGCAAGCTGGATGACTGGCCTTCCGGCAAGCGTGGAAAGCAAGTAGCCCGAGGGGCCACAAGAAGAATCTTTTACATGCTTTAAGCTTCCGTGACACTGGCGTCACGTGTTCGACGGATTTCATAAATGATTAGCGGGATCACAGCCCACCAATGTACGACGATGGTGTCTCGACCTCACGAGGAGCGACGGGTCCCCCCACCCCGAAAGGGACATCCTTCTGGCGATAAAAACACGGCCGTGGAGCTTCCGTTCCGCGAAGAGGAGCTTAAGACAGCTTTTACGACAACTGCCTCCGGCTCGCCCCTGGGAAGAATCCGGAGTCGCATCATATCAATCTCAAGCCTTCGAAGCCTTGTCTCGCCCTGTTATCAATGACAGGGGCCAAAAGAAAAAAATTGTCGCCCCCGCGGACCTCGAAGGGTGTCGCCCATGCGTCTCAGCGGTTTCCTCACCTCAGAAAACCGTGTCGCCGCTTGCGTCGTTCTCCTTCCGCCAGGCACGGAAGGAGCCCGGCTGACTCCGACGGTGATTTTCTGAAGCAAATGAATAAACGACCTCTATTTCCTTCTCCGAAAGACCTGCCATAACGACGCAGGTCATCAAAGCGCTGCACTGCGCGGGCAATTTAAATTTTGTGCTCGGAGACGGAGCGGAACATGCAGTCATTTTTCAAGAACGTTGTTATAGAGCGTCTGGGGCTCGGCGGCTTCCTCACTGAAGACTCGAGCAACGACGAGAACATCAACAAACTCGTTCGCTGAGGCTCGCGATTTCGAGCGCAACATCGGAGAGACTCGGAGATTCTTTCAAGACGGCATTGAGATTACACCCAGAAAGAATCGGAGCTTGTTCCTCTCGGTTCTCCAAACCTAATCACGGGCTGGCCTCCGAATCGATCCTCCATGCCTGCTGGCGGTATGAATGGCGCTGTTCACCGCTAAGTTTGGAGCGATGCTTGGAAGTTGAAGCTCCTCAAGTGACCGTAGGTCGCTCAAGCGGTCGCAAGTGTTCAGCAGTGATAAGGAGGCGTTTGACTGAGTTTCTGTTGCTGAGAATTTGAGCCTTTGATACTGACTTGGCCCAAAAACTTCTGCTTGGCCTTTCCGATTCGTGCCCAAAGTTACTCCGGAGCCTGCGGCCCGCAAACTCGGAGGGTAGCCAAGAGTTGATTGCTTCCCCTGGGAACCCCGTAGCTCGGGCTGTGTAATCGTCGGCCCATAGCCAGTCGCATTCGGCTTTCGATTGCATATTCGATCCGGGTCCTACTGAAGAGAATGATTCGCTCGACGAGAGTGAGAAGTCCAGGAAAGGGTCAAGAGAGCTGAGCCGAGAATCATTCTCGTGTTTCTCCTTCGCAGACTTCATCTTCGAGTCTACGGAGGGAGCCGTTGATTTTAACGTTCCGATGCTCGATAATCAACCGCTCCAAGTGAACTGCGCAGTCCTGCACTTTTGTTCAATTGGTCTCGGGTCCAGAAAAAAAAATCAGTCTAGCTTATGTCAGGGACATCACCGTTCCATGCGTGAAAACGTCTTGAGGGTATTGGTGGACGAAATTTCTCACGCGTCATGTGCCTGAAAGGTATTCATTCCGGCCAATCGAGACCGCCGGCGGATAATTGGTCCTCCTTATTCGACCGCATGGGCTAGATTAATTCCGGTCGAGTGCTGTTTTTGATGCGGATTCCTACTTGCAACTGATGAGAGGCCGCGGTTACAGTTGTTGTCGTTCATCGGAGAATTCAGTTAGACTCAGAATCGACGGACATGGAATCCATAGTGAGTTGGAATGTGGATGGTTATGGGTGGCGAAGTTGTTTCCGGTGGGCGAATTCGCGAGGATTCTAACTCGTGAGAACCGGACCAGCGATAGCTTTCCGTGCAATCACTTTCGTGATGTGGCTTGGTGTGAGCTTGCTTCCAAATCGGATGGTCGTAGAGCGAGGGATTGGCGGGCAAGGCGCAGACCCGTATGAGAATGACGTCGACAGCCTTTGGATAAAAGGATTGATACAGCATTGTTTTACTGATGAAGCAACATCTCATTATAGACCAGCGTTCCCAGATTAGGAACCTTTCGATTACGATGCGACAGACTCGAGGTCCAAAGACGTCGTTTTCAGGCAAACTTCATTGTTTAGTCGACCGAATCATTCAACATTGGGGGAGCTTCGGGAATGAAGAGTTTCGAGGAAATGTCTAGAGAACCTCGCCTCAATAATCGAGTAGAACTGTTGCATCTTGCTAGTTTTCTCTCTATCGAGCTCCATATATAAAACTCTCCTCTCAAAACCCCACGAGGAGCCTAGAATTCACTGTTATTTATCAGATTCCGAGCTTGATCGAGGGGTATGTAGAAAAACCGAAATCTTGGAGCAACCATGTAGCGCTTCGCGACAGGATCTCGTTCGGAGTGGAATCCCGGAAATTCCCCTTTCGATACAGGAATCAGTTTGCGGCCAGCGTGAATGAGGATCGAGATATAAGACCGCAAAGTGCGACAAGTTATGGCTATTTGGATGACGAAGTACATCGAACCGGTCACCCGAGCCTGGGTAAAGACGTTTTCACGTCAAAACATCGATAAAGATTCTACATGGGGGATTATCTTTTTGCGGGGTTTTCCATATTGGTTATCAATGATAACTTATCATTCCCTCGCAGTCTGATGGGAATTAATTTCTCATGGAAATTCTTGCCAGAAAATCTCCCCTTCCTTCCGCCTTCTCCGGTCCAACCGCGAGGAGCCCGACGAGCACGCGGCACAGGGGCTCGGCATCAAGGCTGAATCGTGCCGGGCCTGCGACGTCTCCTCCGGTCATTTCTCAGGCAGGTTGTAGGCCTCATTCGGTCTGTCTAGGAAGTCCTTCTGAGCGTAGAAACGAGCACCGAATCACGTCTTGTGCATCTCACATCGCCGCCCCAGGGTCGTCCAGTGTATTGGAAGCGGGATGCCGCCGAGTGTAGATATGTATGCCTTGTTCCATCTCCTTTGGCTTGATCATGGATACGCATGAACCGCCCAGGTATTCATCTCGGGAATCATCAACGTCGTCTCGAAGAGAATGAAAAAGCCATCGGACCTCGCGTTTCTCTTACGCGTAGAGTGAGAGCACAACTCGCGGAGTTGCCGAGCATGTCGTTGGGGACGTTCGAATCGTTGGCGCTCGGAGCAGCTGTATCAACTCGATCTATGTATATCGAGTACTCGCGAGGTCCAACGATTACTGACGCTCTTGCGGAAGCTCGGCATGGCATCTACGGGAACTCCAATTATTGGTCACGACCCGAGCTTCCAATCCACAGAACAACTGCGGGAAGCCTGTACAACACCGGCCCTCCTCTATCCCAAGCCCTACTCAAGCTCAACGCGGAACTATTGCCAGGACCCCGCTTTTCGAGATGCTACGAATCGATAAGCCGATTCCTGAACATCTGAATCTCATAAATTGTGATTCCACAGCAGATTCCGGACACGCAACGAGACGAGTTTGATGGCGGACGACAAGTCCCGAACGCTGGACTTTCTGAGGGGCTCAAATAAGTTGGAATATTGGGGGGGGCGGACCTTTCACATTTGGAACAAATATCAAGCGTCCCATCGATGGAAATCCTCGATCCTTGGGAAGGAATGTTGAATAGGAACCTCTCGAGTACGGGACAGTCCGTCCCAAGTCCCAGGTGAGATCTGACCGGAGAGCTGTTTCGGAGCGTTGCGGTCAGAAAGCGAATTTTGAGATATCTCTGACGAGACGAACCTATCATCATGTATTGAATAAGTGAATATCTAGCATATTTTCTCCGACTTCACCGCTTAATACTTATCAGCAGTATGCGAGTATTTTCACGCTTCTACCAAACTTCTATGGCCTTATGTGGCCTCGGTGGTAATCTACGGTCGTCAACAAGCAGAGTCTGGGGGCATCCGTGTCCCAAGTACCGCCCGAATCCACTACAGATGCGATGCTTATATGAAGAAGAATCGTCATCTCCATCGCAATATCTCATATGCAGGTTAACTTTGTCGCCGAAGAGATGTGCATCAAAAACGCTGGAATTCCGCGCAACCGCTCTCGGTGGAGCTGATCACCACGGGCGACAGTAACAATCTTGGTTCCGCTTTGCCTCACAAACGGACGGCTCCCTACCCCTCGGAATTACTCCCCGAGCGAGCGAGAGCGAGGAGTTCTCGAGAATGAAACCCTCTATCCGCGTTCGAAAGAGGCAATCTGGTCATCCAGTCCGTATTTTAGGTTGGCTACCTACGTGTCTACCTCACTTAGCCCGGAGAAATTTGAAATTTGCCGCCTCTCTCTCCCTCTTCATACAATGGAGCTCTGAGTGGACGCATTTCAGCCGTTCGTGTGATGCGTTTTCGTCGTTCTGAATTCGAGGCCTTTTTGTGCCCATACGAAGGTCGTACTGGTCCGATACTGCATAGGAAAACGTTCGGGTTCTCCCCACCTTCATGTGAGTGGCGTAGATCAGCGAATTTCAGGATCGGAGCGCCGTGCGAGGCACAAATCGCGTATTGCGTATGAGTCGGTAGGCACGTATCATCTGTGTTTCCCTTCATTAAGGGAATGCACAGCTGATCTGACTATGATTCCCATCTGTCGATCCCCGGTTTCGTCGAGGTGTGCCCCGAAAGATAAGAAGGTATCTGGGTGTTGGCCGTGGTGGACTCGAAGTCGCGATTTCCGGAATCGCAGTTTGAAGAAAAACACGGGGTCTCGAAGGCTCGCATCGCCAACTGAACAACTTCTTCGAAATCGAGAATAATCGGAGTCGGGGTGGTAGTCTTTGTAGTATCGTGTACAAGGGATCATATTAATTCCCTGGTCGGAACTTGGGACGGAGCTCGGGCTGAAATATCTGATGCATCATTCCGCATATCGAGTACAAATAGAAGCACAGGCCTGACTATACTCGACGTTTAAAGCGTGCATTTCGCTTTGTGAAGGAGTTAGGCCTGCCGGAGACGCGCAAAAGAAACCGGAGAATTTCGCTCCAAAAACCGCGCTAGACGAACTACGCTAACGAGCTCTATTCTCCTCAGATATAACCACGGAGGAAAATGGGGCGAAAATTCCTCGAGCACATGGGAGGTTCGAGAATATTCGCCTGCGCAGCGTGCGATACGATGCTGACGAACCGCCAGGAACTAATATCCACGAGGTTCACAGGGGCCACTGGAAGAGCCTTTCTGTTTAACCGAGTCGTTAATCTCCGCTACAGGTCAGTGAAGACAGCATCCCTGGAATTGACTCTCGAAAGTTCTCAATTCACTCACGGCTCATGCTCTAACGAGAGACGTTCCCTCAATTCTAGTGATGTCCAGGACAGGCTGATGTTGACAGGGCGACATATGGTTCGGGATGTGATGTGTAAGAACTGCGATGCCAAGCTGGGCTGGATTTATGAGTTCGCTACGGATGAGGCCCAACGCTACAAAGAAGGGAAGGTAAGTCATTGGGGCAGGATTGGATCGGGACTATAGTTGTGCCTCGATTATACCAACTCTCCGGATAGTGAACTCCTTTTCGTCAACTTTCTGATGTTGGAACATATAATCGAATCTCTCTTGATATGATCGAAGTCTCAACGCATTGCCGTGGAGCATCGAACAAGCATTCATGTCAATAACTAGTTGATACAATAAAGGATCTACCTGATATTATTATCTCATCGCCTTATCCTAAGACTTTGGCGCGCTTCCAGGTAATTCTGGAGAGGGCTTTGGTCACTGAGAACGGCGGAATCGGAGATCGGGACGCCCCCGCCCATTCGTAACAGTAGATGTCGAGTATCCGGCGAATCGTAAGGAATTTTGGTAGCGCTTCAATCAAACAATCAGTCGAACCATCAACCGAGCGAAATAATCAAAGAACCGACTGCAAACCTACGCTGAAAAATCTCACATCGAGTCTTCATCTCCGCGAAAAATCGTATTTTCTACTCCGATTCATCATCATGGTCCGTTGACGATGCTATTCGTTCGTCTGCCTTCGGGTTACATTCCCCGAAGTTCCGTATCAAATTCTCTGACTGCGACAAGTCGACTGGGACTAGGATTGCTTCGGAACATGGATTCATCTCCACATTTGGCGAGAACCTCCCGCAAAAAACCGAGTGCATTTTGCCGATGTTGTTTCAACGAACAAATCAAGCATGAATTCACCACTTGTTTCTGGCGCGATGCATAGGAGAGATCGAGCAGAACGCTCAGAGATCGGGATTCCCGATTTCCGAACGGGAGCGTGTTGGCTGAAAGGCGCTTCATAGGTAAGCGTCTGAGCTAAGGAGGAGCGGGACGACGGAGTGAGAGCTCCGTTCGTCTCTCTTTCAAGCAGTGAGCGGGTCGAAGTGTCTGAGCTAGACGCGAATTTGATTTCATTCGAAACGTCCAACTTTTTCGAGTGCGTATTGGCATGACCGTAACGCGAAATTCCGAACCGAAACACGCCTTGGCCCTTTGAGGCAGTCAGGTTAGGCAAGCGTGCCTGTCCTCATTCGACGGAGAGTGGAGGAACGCCTCACGACGGTCTTGTCAATCCGGATTCAACGGATGTCCTTCCAGCTGAGTAGCCAAAAAAAACAGAGAGGTTCTCGACTCATTTGGAGGAGTTGGAAAAACAAGAGTCCGGACTTCATGGATCTCAATGTGTCGAATCAGGGGATGAAGCTTTGCTGTGGAATGGAAAAGTGATCGATTATCATCTGTGATTATTCATTGGACACCCGACCGCCACCCGTTATTAGGAGCCGCTCTCGGAGCACTATTACATATTGAAGCTGGTCTGACTGTGCTTGTTCGTATTCTTCATGAAACCAGACGATCTGCTCTGTGCAGACGGCTAGATCCTCGCGTGAATGATGAGGCAACTAAAATCGATAAGATGGAGAAGAATGATTGATCGATGTGCGTTATGGATTGTCCCGAGGCGGCCGGGATAATGAGGCCGAGCTCGGTTGGGGAGCCGATTTTCAGGACCGGGTCACTCACAGAATGCGACCGTTTCCAAGTTTCTAGGCAGAGTTTCGATGCGCTAGAGTGTGATAGTGTTGTTAGCCATGACGGCGAAGCTGCGGCAGAGGTAAAAATGGAACAGCAATGACCACAATGATGTAAACGTCGACACCGAGGGCGATGGGAGGGCGGAAAGACTGTGAACGGTTGTTCGTCGTCCCAAACCCGCACTGATAGGTTGACAGCGACACGAGCGGAATTCGGACTGCGAAACTCCTGAAAAAGAAAGCTCCTGACAATTTGGATTGCGATTCGCTTGGGTTCGCGTTCCGTGTTCGCGTCGCCTATCACTCTTTCATGCAGGGGTCCGAACGATTCTGGCACCAAGCCTTCGTCGTGAAGATCTCCGTCCGCAGGAGCGAAGTACGCGTGCTGTTCGTTTATTCAATCGTGTGAGTGCGCCCTGCAGATTCATATATAGCCTACCACACTACTGATATATTCCTCGAACTCTCGCGCGTCCGGGTCACGAAAATCCTCCCGCGTCTACATGCGCGAGACACAGTTTTCATTATTTGTAAACCGTATACCCTTTCGATATCCCTATGATTGGCCCACGTCACCGACCTCTGGGCACGAATGAAGTCGATGGCAAGGCGAATTCCTTCTCCGTTCTCGAAGTGTGGGATAAATCCTAAGTCTAAGGAATCATTTTCCTCCATTACCCTCTTGAAAATCGTTTGTGACCATTCTGTGAGCCATCGATTTCACGTAGATTTACCCAACTTGTAACCATGAGTTATGATGATTATCATGATAATCCACATGGAATGCGTTCTTTAATCCCAGTCAAGCCTGGTAAAAAATTCCTCGATTCGATCGGAGATCATCAGTCTATATTTAGCCGTAAAAGGGATTGATTGGCCCTACGAATTGGAGAATGAGGACATTCTCGCTCGATTCTCGACTCCACTATGTTCAAACCTTATGCTTTTTGTCCAATGGTTGTGTACTGCAACCTCGCCGATAATCACCTATGTTATATCAATGTGAAATAAATAAATGCCATGCACGGAAGACACGAGAAACCGTATATTTTTCGCTCAGACTCTCAACATCGTTCATTGGAGGGGGCTGCAACGTGAAGTTCCCATCGCTGATCAACAGATATTAAAGAAAGAACAGCCGCGGCCCATATGCTTGGGCGTCTGACGTGATTATAATCTCACTTCACAACTCCAAGTTCAGCGAGCGTAATCTTAACAAGGACTTCAAATAGGAATCTCATAGTCAAAGACTTTCCAGAGTTTGACAACCTCATCGTCACCTGCAGATGCGAGGATTCCAGCTCTCGTGGGATTCCATTTTACACAATTTACATCTTGTCGGTGTGCGTCAAGCGATGCAGCCTGGATGAAGTTTGGCGCGTCGGCTGTGTGACAATCGACTTGCTGCTCGGGGTCGGGAGCGAAAATTCGGAGTTTGTTGTCGCCACATCCGGACGCAATGAGACCGGTCAGGTGGCACCAAGACACATCGTAAACGGGTCGAGTGTGGTATCCCTGAATGGTTGAGATGCATTTCCAGGAAGGAGAGATGCCTGCCTGGTTCCCGGCATGGTATCGCTTCCACATGCGCAAGGTCTGGTCATCGCTACCGCTGACGAGTTTATCTCCCTCGCGATCGAAGGCGATCGACCAAACAGTGCTGTCGTGACCTGTCGCCGTAAAATCGCAAGCCCAGTCGTCACCTTCATCTTTGTAGAAATTTATGGAATTGTCGTAACTTGCTGAGGCCAGAATATCTTCGTTTGGATGCCACCGGACACATTTGACATCTTGAGTGTGACAAGACTGTACGCTGACACATTCGAAGTCGTCTGTTCCGCCCTGCTCCCAGATCCAAACTGTTTTGTCTCTGGAACACGTTGCGAGATACCTCCCTGATGGAGAGAATTCTGCAGACTTCACTTCATTCTCATGGCCTTCAAGCGTGACGCTGCATTCGAATTCCCCGTCCTTCTTCGTCCAAACGCAGACCGTACCATCGAAACTACATGAAGCCAGCATGTTCCCGCAGGGGCTCCAAGAGACCCTTCGGATGGTGCGTGAATGGCCGTCGCTCAGGATCGTTCCGCACACCCATTCGTGGTCTTGTTCGGTCCACAGACGGATTGATTTGTCGGTTCCGCATGTTGCCAATGTATTGCCGTCCGAGCTCCACGCGCAGCACCAAACCGGATCACTGTGGCCCTCGAGAGACGCAACTTGTTCCACTCGCATTTCCGACCCTCAATTGAGGATAGCGAGCGAGCGAGCTTCCTGATGATAGAGTTCCTTCTCTGAATCAGTTTCTTCGGCCTCTATCGATCCTTGTTTGATGGTTGACCAAATAATCGCGCTTGCTTGCCGGAACCGAACTTATTTACTTATTTCCCTCTCTCCCTTCCCTCAGCTGTCCACAGTCTACGCGCTATCAGTCGGAACGACCGCCAAAAGTAGAGCCCCTCCGCTGACGGCTCCGTCGCCATCTAACTCTGCCCGAAGATTCCAAGTGAGCGGTGTTTCTGAAGGTGAATTACTCCCACTAGAGAAATTAGCGGAAGTCAAAGCGAGCTTCTGCTCTGTAGTATCTACGAGCTGAGTGGTGCACAAGAGATCCCGAAAAGCGCGAATCTGATGTGACGGCGGCGGTCCGCCGCCTGCTCCCAGCCTTTCCTTCAATGCAGACGACAGCTATCAGATCAGCTGTTATTTACGTCGAATGTGTTCCGATTCTTGTGACATGGCCAAAATCCACTATTTTATTTAAGGTAAGAAACCTTGTTAGCTCCCCGGGTCAGCCCTATACAAGGGAAATGGATTGACGGATCCCCGTGAGGATTGCAGGTGAGTTCAGCGAGAAGCGCAGTCCTCGGCAAGAACAGAGATGAACTCGTAAATTGAGGAAACGTAGAGCAGCTCAGTTAGTCAGAACCACTGCTCTTGACTCTCCGATCGTTGACAGAGTTCGCGAGTCAGTCGAGACGCCGGACGACTCAGAGTGAGGAGCTCGAGATCGCGGCCCTGTGTTTGCTCGTACGCAATCCGAAGCGTCATATGGAAAGCGAATCGGCTGCTGGACAGATTGCTCTCTTTTGAGTTGTCTCATAGTGAGACAGCGGCGACTTTGACACCCGGCGGCTGTCTCCCCGAGGAAGCCCAATGATTCCGTCAAATTGATGCGCGATGGTATATCCAGGGCTCACAGAGCTCGCCTGAATTTCTCCGACCGGACCTTCGTGCTGATCCCGTGTCAAATCGCCCCGCTTATTCAGCATTTCACCGATCAGTAGAAGATTGTTACGACGATATCTCAAACGTCTTATTCCCAACGGAATGAATGACCAAGCTCCCTCGGAACGATGTTCGGTTATCGTACGCAATAGAGAAATTCATGGTCGTTCCGAAGAAAAACCCTAACTAAGCTCCTCAAGGACAGTCCTGTCAGAGGAATGGTCGCTTGGTGTTCTTCGCGATAGGAAGTTTCCCGATCGACACGAGATGCGCTCGATCCTACAGCTCCGTGTGCTTGCGAACATCTCAGTCAGTTTCTGTCATTTGAACGTCCGCGGAATCAGACAGGCCAGCTCAATGTGCGAAAGCGCTTTGCGGCTGCTCCTGACTCATAGATGCGGGATTCTGAATCCTATAATTTTTACTACTTGACCGAGTATATCATACATCCTTCGAAGAAGCTGACTCCGACGCGACCCTGCCCCGCTCTTCTGAGTATGTGCATAGGAATCGTATCGTGGATCGAGAGTTTTCGCTAGGCTGTGATGGAGCAGTGTCTGACGGAATGGTTGGCGACGCTCACTGCGATTCCTTGCTTTTCTCGCCCGAGGGATGTATCTGCCCTGAGGGGGTCCGCTGGAGGTTTCGGGATACCCGAAAAGAAACAGTTGGGGTTCTCGGAGCAACACCGGCGAGCGTTCGCGAAAGGGATTCCACGGACGAGATTCGATCCTTGCCGTCGGCAAGACGAGGCCAGTCCCAGCGCATAATTACACAGTCTATTACGTACCTTTCCTGACCGTCTGCTGACCGAGGTCTGCCCTCGTGCAGACAAATCGACCCCGGTGCGGAGAAGTCCATCGAGTAGTGACCGTCGGTCGCGGAGAATTATTACACGTGATCCTGACCATCAGGAGCTCCTATTATTATCGCTTGCAGAGGATGGGCGAATACGTATTGGTCCGATGCCGAAGTTGAAATGCGCTCTATGCACCCTCAAGGTGCTACCGTCGAGCACCGAATTCGTCGCTCATGTGAGGATGGCCCACTGTCTTCGCGCGACAGGTCCGGTCAGCGCATTCGAATGTCATTATTCACCACAGAGCGCGTTGTGCGCCGTACTCAAAGATACGGCCCACTTCGAGGCGCATGTACTCAACGTGCACCTGGCGTGCAACGCTCAAGAGGAACCCGATCTAGGTGCTCCGTCGTGGAGCATTTACGATTGCAGCCAGAACCTCCCGGCTCTGCTGAACGATCCTCGCACTCGTCGCGGCAACGATTTCTTCACCAGAACTTGGGGAGACACTTTCGTCGAGCCCCATCAGGTGAGTTTCGCATCAGATCTGCCGCGCCTTCCCGGCTTATTCATTCACGCTCGAATTCGTCCGAGGAACCAGACCGCGATCAATGCCGAATGTTCTCTGATCTTGTCGGGCCTTCCAGGTTGAGCCGTGTCGCTTCTTACCGATCGTCAAACGGCCCGCGTTCGAAGACTACCTCGAGCGAATTCGCAGCCGATGGCAGCGGCGCGCTCGGAGCGGCCAAGAGAGTCGACGGAAAAAAATCCTCAAGAAACCTATCGAGTTGACGATCGAGAAAGTTCCCAGTGTGAGTCTGAGCTCTCCGAGGTCATCGAGGATCGGCGAGGGTCGGCGTCCCGTAGCTCGAATCGGCACTCGACTATCGCTAATCGGGCTCTCGATCTTCTGCAGATATTTTTCAAACCTAACTTCGATCTGTCGGAACCGGAAACGTTCAATGCCGTTCTGGGGTGCGCAGACGAGGTCGATTGCAATGACAGGGCCTCGCCTGTCAAGGAGTCTTCTAGTCCGTCGAGCACGCATTCCAATCGGAGGGTACGCAAGCACACTCCTGGGAGGGACCACGGAAATTTAAAACATGAGTATTATATCTCGACACACGGATCAATTGCCTGCGGAGAGTTCGTGCGCGTGTATAGGATGGACTCGATTCGCTTGTCGACGGCAAACTCTTCGCATTGCAGACTTCGGTATCCCTAAACGGAATTTCTCATGGAGAAGGAGAACGCCGTCTGGTCCAAGAACGATTAGGACACCTGACAGATCTGGTAGAAGTCCGTTTGATTCAACACATATCCGAACATTCCGATGCATTTTTCGATGCCATGACGTCCCAAGATGAGTTAGCAGAAAGAATGGCTCAAACCCTACAGAGTATCACAGTCATGAGGTGAGAAATTATGGTGAGCAGTAAAATTCCGGAGGGAGATGCTTCTTCAGGATCATCGAGCGGCTCCCGAGACTTTCACGAGACCCGTTCCTTCCAGACAACGAATAGCCGAAATAGAAGGGCAGCTAGTTAAGGAACCGTTACGTGTTCTTCAACTCCACCAACAACGACAGAATATTTTAAGCGTAGTCGACAAGCTCGAGCTTATGATGAACGTGCACCAAGCACAACCGACAATTCAAGTGCTCCTCTCGAATTGTGAATTCGTCGGAGCTCTGGACCTCATAGATACAACTCAAGAGATCCTCATTCAAGAACTGAAAGATGTTGTTTGTTTCCGACATCTCGGACACCAACTCAAGGAGATCGAGGATCTCATTCTCCGCATTTTGGAAAGTGATTTCAAGAAGTACACCGCCGCCGATTTGAACCGGGACCTCAATTCCGGTCCTCAGATCAAAGATCTCGATCAGCTCCGAGCTGTGATTTGTGGCCTGCTGAGGCTAGGCAGAGGATCCGAAATGGTTCGCTTGTATAAAGAAGAGGCCATAACGGCAGTTCAAGCTATGATCAAACAGACGCAGATCGAATTCGCTGCGGAAATGACCCAGGAGGATGTGACAAGGTGAGGGTGATCCGGACGGTAATCGGCGACCTCAGCTCAGCGTCAATCCGATCGAGGAGCGCACCCTACTGTCCCGCGGAACTCCAAACTAAATTATTGATGACGGGTGATTTTCAGACCAGAGCAACAACTAGAACATTTGGAGATCTCGGAATGGATGACTTTGTTATACCGTGCTTTCAATAACATTGAGAAACAATTACTACGGATCAGAGCTGTTTTCGACTTGTGCGTCGAGGTTATGAACGTTGGTCAGCCGCATGAAGATAAAGATAAAGAAGAGCATCGGACAAACGCCGTATTCGAGGGCATGCATCACTTACAAATAAAGCCTGGTGAGTTCCCGCCGGTCGCCCCCTACGTAAGTCTGTTCCGGACCTATAATAATAATCAAAGAATTCGCATTTCTCATCCTGCCGACCTTCCTCAGATCGTTCAAATGGCCATGCAGGATCAGTTACATCGCTGAACGAGGAAGGTAGAGAGGAAAAGATGTCGCCCTCCTTAGCCCGGATGAAGCAGCTCAGCGCGAGCAAAAGCTCCATTGCTAGTTCAAGGTCTGTGTGTCATCGGTATCCTCGATTTCATAAGGAGTCCGACACGGCGGTCGGGATCGACTCCGGATGACATTCTTCTTCTCTTCGTCCGTAGGTCAGAAGAGCTCGTTAGTGAAACAGATCGCAGTCGAGTCGAGACGCAGCTTGAGGAAATGTTGCTCGACGTCTGCAACGCCGCCCACGACGCTTGTGCGAAACTTGTGAGCGCCAAAACTGAGGACGGCTCCTTGGACAAGATGAGTTCAGCCGAGTTCGTGTCTCTCTGTCAAGGCGTGGAATCTTTCAGTTCCAAGTGCGAAAAGGTGAGAATCTAGCGGCAGACCCCCCCAACGCTAGCCCCCGCCCGGCTTGGGGCCGAGCTTCTTCTTCAAGTCCACTTTTACATCGAACGATCGGTTTCTCCAGGTTTGCATGGGTCGCAGAGGAACGGGTCTGCGATTAGCCCTGCAGTCTCGGGCGAACCGTTTCGTTACATCTTATCATGACCAGCACAAGGATACCTTGGTTCTTGTCCTAGAGAATGAACCTTTCAAAACGGTCAAGGTTCCACAGAACCTTCAGAACATGCTGACGAGGTTAGTTCGAATTTGTTGACAATCGCTCTCTAGACATGGAAGTTCCGGTGACCATGGTTTGCGATCCCCGATTGCTCTATGAAATTATCAAGCGAACGGCGAATTCTGAGGTCTTTACCGTGCTTGCAGCGCAATCAACTCGCCCAGTGGTCTTTTGAAAATGTTGAAATGCGAAAACGATTCTTCTGAAGTTGCGGATGTTCTCATTCTTGCGGGAGAGAAATTCGTTGTTTGTGGCTGTGTGCTACATCTCCTCAAGCTGCTCCTCGAGTACTGCCAGAGTTCCCTTGACATTCCTATGGTTGCTCCGGATCTGTTGACGCGTCTACTAGACCTTCTAAGAGTAAGTTTGTCGATCAGAGGCAGCATCGCGGCATTCGCGCTATGACCGTCCTACCTCATTCATAAATCTCGAATGTGATTATTCAGCACTTCAATACGGCAATATACAAACTAGTGCTCGGACCTGCATCTACCAGAGGCTTTTCTGGACCGACAATATCGAAACTCCGTAAGTCCTCCTCTTCCATCGTTGGCCGCCCTTCCGAACATACTCCTTTATTCCCAGATGTCGATCGTTGATTTTCTAACTCTATTTCGCTGAGAGCTTCCCTTCATTCGAATTCCAGTTATGGCGTCGCGTTCTCTCGAATTCGTCGAGAAGTTCATGCCCTATCTGCGCACGCATTTCGAGAAGGTGCTCTCTCGGAAGCAGCAGTTCATGATGAAACATTTCGCTCAGATGGCTCTCGATCTCCGGGAACATTCCACCCAGATTGAGAGTCGCGTACTCACACTCGCAACGGACGCCGTGGACGCAAAACTGAACGAGTGGATTCTCAAAGCGCCAGTCCCTTCCAATGTGAGTTGCTTTGCGCTGTCGAGGTATTCGAGCGCGGTGAGATTGGGAGAATCCAAGTTATCTCCTAATCTTGGAACTTTCGTAGGCTTTCCGAGGGATCACTACGATTCTTATCGCTGTCAACAATTCGCTGACTTCAACGGTCCCAGAGGAACGTGGAGTCGAACTCCTGAAGAAATGTCACCAAAGCTTTCTACCGGCCGTGCGCAAGCATCTCATCCGACTAGGAGTGAAACCCGACGGAGGTCCGCAACATGGGTATGTGCGGAGCCTTCGATGAGGAAAGAGATTCCGAAAACGTGAGGAATTCCGTTCAGTTCTCCGAGATCACCTATGCTCGTTTCTTTCCAGAATGGTCATCCAGGAGTTGACGTTCTACGCCGAGATTCTGAAGAGGAACGGCGTTCCTTCGATCGAGTTCGAAGGTGTCTGGAACAATCTTTACTGATAGTGGGCGCTCAGTTCTGTCTCGGTACCCACGATCACGGCGAAGCTCAGCGAGATGAATTCAATTGCTCGGTCTGGGATCGAAGCAGTGACAGCCCATGGTTTCTAAACCTCAGGAGTCGGTCGATGAAAACGAGAAGCCTCGCATGTGCCGCTCATCACAGCCTTGAGCGGAACCGAATGCGAGGTTTCCAGCGATACTCCTCCAAAATTCGGTCGTGAGTGGCTTTGGACTCCTGCGGATGCTAGGAAATCTCGTCGGAAGTCGGAAGCAGAAATCGCTTTCGAGACCTGAATGGCTCACCCCGAAGATTTCGCATTCATCGAGGTTCAGGGAAAAGGCATCGCCTCTGCTGGATCCTTGGGAAGTCGTTCACCAATGATACAATAGTACGCGTAAATTCTCCGCGGCGGGCCTTCAGAATGTTGACCAGAGAGTACGAATGCACGTCATGTTTGTGGCAGCGAGTCCGGGCTCTGTGGGACTTCCCGCCCACAGTAACTGATGAAACTGAGCAGAAAAGCTGGTATGGAGTGATCTGTAGTCTTATAAGGTCGAATGCTGGAGGAATTTCTCGCGTCGAGGCTCTTGCATCGGGATGCAGAAGCGTCGTAACGTTTCCTCTGGATCGCTTCCTTCCTGGAGCATCTTCTTCCAGCTGACGACACATAGTCGAGCCCTCATCGGAGTCCGTTTCGAGTCCGAGCCAATCATCTAGCATGGGAGAAAGCAGGGAAACAGTCAGGGAGTGGCTTTACAGGGCATCCGGCAGAGAGCGAATTCAGAGAATTCGGCCGGTCTCTCTAGTTTTGTACATAATGGATGCAGATAGAGCGGATGATATGTGAGGAGGACCGATTTCGAGCAATCAAAAAGCACATACGACAATAGCTATGATTTGAAATGATATGCGCGGTGGTTTGATAGAGGGGAGTCTAGCTATTTTTGGAGGAAATAAAGATTATTGTTCGACACGGCGAGAGTAATATTCACTCCCGGACGTCCGCTCGGAGCAACTGTACTCATGCTGACTCAGTGTGGGTGGGAGGGGGATACGAAAGACAAGAATTTCCTCTTTCCTTTCCCATCTCGACTTCTCCGGATAATTATGGAAACGGATACGACGGAATCGCGGAGGCTCCGGGCTTCCGATCCCTCTGATCGGTGGAAAATATTTTCGGCAATCATTTTGGGATTTAGCTTTGCTGAGACCATCGGACCGCTCGACGAAAGTCCGAGGAGATCGATTTCCCCTCCGTGAGAAGCTCGTGAATCGGAATCTTCGCAGGTCAGGGATCCCGACAATGCCGGGTTTGACTTCCGGTTTCCTATGACCGCCCAGGGTTATCTGTGGATACTTCTGCTGCATATTCGCTATGGAGGACGCTGAATGGAGGCACAAGAGTGCTACAAAACTCGAGTCCTTGGCTTCGGAGAAGTAGCGTCATGGTTTCCCGCCACTAGATGTGGACTGTGGACTTTCGAGGGGATAGATTTTCGGAGGAGGACCCGTCTTGCTTTGGCTTAGCGCAGCGTATCCCGTGGATTCTCAAGCCATAGATAGCTCGAATGTCGCACCTTGTCGTCGATTACACTCGATTAGAGCCGGGATAAATTATTCCATCAACCGTGACGAGTGCGCAGAGATCGGGGGAGCTCCCTCCTCCGTGAGCGCCGCCATGACACCAGCCGAGTTCCCTTGCCCCGCTATTGCTATGTCGGCCGCTGTCAAAACATTCGACTCCGGCAAACTACTAGCCCTGTGACCGCGAATGCTCTTGCAGTGATGCACTCTTTCAATCAAGCGCTCGGTCCGCCTTGACTCGGTCGTGGACCGGAACAATCGGAACCTTTCTTTCGTTCTTCGCGATCGCAGGGGATCCCTATGGAGAAGTGAAGGACACTCCGGCATACGCATCGCTCTCGGCGATGCGTATCGATTGTTATGGTGGGTACTTTCATCATCCGCGATCCGCGATTGTAACGGTGTCTCACCCCCTGCAGCGGGCGCGCGCTTTTCTATCACTCAGACGTCATTGTAAATTCAGACTGTGTGGTGATTTTCGTTTTCTTCTACATATTGGACAACCCGGTACGACTTTATCAAGTTCTCGGGCTCGCTCGCCTAATCTCCTAGGGATCCGCCCCGCATTCTAAGCAAACTTGCTACAGTCTCGTAGCGGCAGCCGTGCTCATCAACCGCACCACGATGTCTCCTTTGTTTATTGAATCATGGAACCGATGCTGACCGCGGAGCCATGTGGCGATGTGTGCTCGTTTCGTCACCGCTCCAGTCAACGACACTCTGACGTGTTCTGTTCGAAAGTGTTCTCTCCGTCTCATCGAGAAACTTCATCTCGCTTCGGGAGAGCCGACTGACATATATTCCAGCAGGTGGATCTGCTCGATCTGCTACCTATCTTTATGTTTCTCTGCCCATACGAAAGTCCCGTTCAAGGAAGTTTCTCAATTACTCTGATTATTCCTTCCAGAGAACTAGATACTCCTAGATGATCCGAATCATCCAAAACTATCATCGTAGGTTCATTTCATACATTCTTGGGGGGCCCCTGTTCAGAGAGAAGCTCCTGAAAACTTTCTTCCGGATCGCTGCTCCCCGCAGATCCCATCCTGTAGCAGCGATCCCTGACCTACTCGAATCTGACATCTCCGAAAATATCTTTCAGATGCTGCGCGTTCGAATTCTCCGACCCGTACGGCATTTGGCCCATTGCGTTCTGATGGCTATCGTGATCTACATGTTCGTAGAGTCGTCGGGAGCGTTGACGCCCGCCTCAGATATGCCATCGGTCGACCCGTTCGCCGAATACGGGGTTGTTCTCACAATCCTCCTCTACTTATTCAGACTTTTACCTTTGCTCGCCCTTCCTCAAAGTTTGACAAACTTCTTCGGTTTAACATTGTATAACGCTTTCCCGCCCAAAGTCAAATTGAAGGTGAGCAACGAGAAAGTTTCTAGGCTCCGACGGCGGAGCTCCAGACTCTATGAGAGTTTCTCCCGAGCGAAAATTTCGCGGACGCAGTAACTGAGCTTGCGACGTTTTTTCAGGTTGATCCATTGGAGGCGCCTTTCCTCTGCATAAGAGTGGTGACCCGGGGCGGGTATCCAGACCTAGTGAAAGCCAATGTACAGAGGAATCTTCAAACGTGTTTAGATCTGGGAATGGTGAATTTTGTGATCGAAGTCGCAACCGATAAAGAAGTGTATTCAACGGAAGACTTATCGACGGCTCATCCCACTGAAACCATGGGCCTAAATCAGGCTGGACCTGACCAGGTGAGTTGTCCAGAGGCGAGCCCCCGGCCGCCATCGCGACGGGAGAGGCCACACGTGAACGCGCAATGCGAAAACTGCCGTTATTCCCCCAGAATGAACTCCCCTCGACGATGGAGTCATGCTGCGACTGGCCGGAATTTTCTGTTACCGAAGCTGATTTTTCCGCAGGTTGCCGTGGACATCAAAGGGCCTCCTGTCCGGCGTTTGCACCCAAAGATCAAACAAACTGTTATACCTAATGACTACCAAACGTCGAGCGGAGCGATGTTCAAAGCCCGCGCTCTCCAGTACTGCCTCGAAGACGATGTCAACGTGCTGGACGACGACGACTTCGTTCTTCATCTAGACGAGGAAACCATCGTCACTCGAGACGCCATGAAAGGAGTCCTTAATTTCATAAGCCAGAGGCGGCACCCCTTCGGGCAAGGCATGATAACGTATGCCAACGAGCGAATCGTCAACTGGGTCACAACACTCGCTGACACCTATCGCGTGGCCGACGACCTTGGCAAGCTCCGGTTCCAATTCAAGTTTTTCCATAAACCCCTATTCTCCTGGAAAGGATCGTACGTGTGCTGTCGGCTCGGTGCCGAGCGCGCGGTGAGCTTCGACAACGGACCCGACGGCTCCGTAGCCGAGGATTGCTTTTTTTCCATGGTGGCATTCTCCAAAGGATACTCGTTCGAATTCATCGAGGGTGCTCTATGGGAGAAGAGTCCCTTCACCATAAGCGACTTTCTCCAGCAGCGGAAGCGGTGGCTACAAGGAATATTCCTCGTGGTTCACTCACCCAGAATCCCTGCGAAATTCAAAGTGTGGCTAGCGTGCTCTTTGTACGCCTGGGCAACGATGCCTCTCTCGACGTCTAATCTGTTCCTGGCGCCGAGATACCCGCTCCCCTGCCCTCAGACGTTCAATATCCTGTGTGCGATGATCGGTGCTCTCAATCTGTACATGTATTTTTTCGGTGTACTCAAGTCGTTCTCGATCAAACGGCAAGGACTCCTCAAGTTTCTTCTGTGTCTCGGTCTGGTCGTCGTGGCCATACCGATAAACATTTTCGTTGAGAACATCGCCGTCGTTTGGGGTCTCCTCGGAGACAAGCACAAATTCTATATCGTCGACAAAAGCGTCAAGCTATCCACCAAACCGTTGTTGCCGGTGTAACTCCGGTGGACCGAGGGTATGAGACACGGGAATGATAATTCCGCTCTGTATATAGTGTCGACGGGGAAGGTCCCCGAAGTTAACTCGGCTATTGAGTTGAGTGAGCATGCGAGTCAATCGGTACTTTAGAATGTGTCGATGTAGATCTTAAATTATTTCCGGAAGCGACAGTGTGATTGAAGATTGAAAAAGATTGAAAAGCAAACCGTGTTGCCTTTCTCATTAGATTTAAAATTAAATGACGAATTTGTCACAGAAGCCCACGGGTATTCGTGTTTTCTCCTCAAAGAGTCTCCTTTTGGGAGAGAGAAAGGTAAAACCTACGGGAGGAGGAGTCGTCAAGCCACGGTGGCCGTGGAGATTGGAAGCCCGGGCTGGTGAATTCGATTCTCCGAGAGATCCCAGAGGAGGAGACGGACATAACGATATTCATTTATTCATAATTCCTTCCGACTCGTATTGATTCCTTACCTAGAATTGAACTATTGGATCTGCATCGAAGTCGCAGATGGCGCTAAAGGCGTAGTCGGTGCGCCGGGCTCGGGACTGTGACGTTTCTTCTTTTTCTTATCTTTTTTACGCTTTTTCTTCTCTTCGTCGTGTTTCTTCGGTTTCTTGTGCTTCTTCTCCGCTTCGGAACCGAAGGGTCCTTCGGGGCCGGCTGCCAGCGTGATCATTGCAGGTCCTCCTACACCGCCTCCGAGTGTGGATGTCTCGTTTCCGGGAGTGTCGGCTTTGTGCTTCTTATGCTTCTTCTTTTTTAGAGCTTGGAAATTGACCGTTCTATATTGATCTGGCAGCGGACCGGGATGAAGCCGGAAACCGGCTAATTGAGCGCCGCTCAATAGCGTGAGTTCTTTACCACCCACGGGGGGCTGCTGTATAACCTGAAAGAATTCGATGGTTCAAGCAAGACTGGTTTGAGGGAAAGGAGGGTGATCATCAAGAATTAGTAATTCCTTAGAAGGAGTTCGAGGGTTGCAGGCGAACCTTTCTGAGTGAGGAATCGCCCGTGCCGTCAGCCGATACAGGTATATTGATGTTCCCGGGTAAAGATGGTAAGAAGGCTGACAACTTGTCTTTGACTTTGCGACCTAGAAGTGTGAGTTCTTCGTCAGAGAGGATGCTCGAGCAGCGAAAAAGAGACAAGCACATTACTTAGTTGGACGCGCCGATCAAGTCTCGTTATTCATTTCAACTCACTGGTAGCTGAGATAGAAAGGGAAATTCACAAGTCACTTCGAGCAATGGACAAAACGAATAGACCTCACGGTGGTTGGGCGGGCGATGAATACTGACCTATGAATTTGTTGAATGTGTGTTCGAGGTTATAATGAAGCATCATGTTCGTGGCTCCCGTCAGCACTGGCTCAGTTTTAATGTTATCTTTCAATAGATAAAAAGGACCTGAGTGGGAAGAGTGTACGATCGCAGGCGTCGACCGAAGGGATATTGTGGTCTTCAATGTCCCCGTTGTGTCGGGCCTCGATACAACTGAATTGTAAATAGTCTCCGGTTAGGTTCCATTTCCTCACTGCGGAGTGCGTTCGCCTTCGGAGGTCGCTGGTCGTCTATCCGTCGCAGAGTGATTTACAACATGAAGCCCGCGGTCGACATGGGAGCCGAGTGACCTCCGAAGTCACGCGGCGCCTTTGAGATCAATCGACAGGGTATCATTTGCATGCAAAAGTCTCCCCCACGACGGAAAACTTCGATCAGAGCCGCCACTCTTCGTCAAGTTTGCGTAAAGCAAAGTCTCGATTGCCTGAACTCACCTGGAGATCTGCCTCCTGCTCGAGGAGAAGAGTTTTCGCCCGGTCTTCTGGGGGAGTATTCGCCAGGTCTCCGACCGTCGTACATATTTGGATATATTTCGTCTAAACTGTTCGCAAACATTTTGTCCGAACGTCAAAAATCTACACTCCCGAGTCACCTCACAATCACGTCCGTGTGGCTGTAACTAGACCTGGACTTCGTCTAGAACGACTGTACGGCCCAACGCCGTTCTGTTTGGGGGGCGGCAGCGGATACTCGAGGAAGCGTACGAATATACGTATGTTTAGTCTAATGGAGAACCATACAAGAAGAAGAAGGGGGTTTGTTGAACAGAAGCGGAATATTCTATGCTGATGATGATGATGATTGTGGGAGAGTGTAGGCAATGATGTCGTTGATCTTCACTGGCCGCTCGATCGCAGCCGGGCGGTCCATATACTTCTCCTGTTCCGACTCCCGTGATTATTCCGTCTCACTTAAATCTGTGACGGAATCCGTTCACCTTCGCCCAGGGAGCTATTTTTCCCGAATGAGCCTGGAATGACTCGCAAAATTTAGGAAAATGCGCGAGTCCGGACCCTTGGAAACGGATGAGTCCTGGCTTCTGACTGCAAATTAGTTCTTTCAGGGAAAGGACTCACCATCTCCTCGATGGTTCGAGCGGAGATAACAGCGAGTCACTTTACTAATGGTGAGCGTCTTCGGTACTCTATGTTTCTGAGAACTCGAGTCGCAGCTGTGAACTTCCTGGCCGTGAAGACCGAGGATGAGATGGCAGTATTTTCAGGCCGACTTCATTGAATCATCATTTCTCATAAAGGACTTCAAATAAGGAATTCAGTCTGATAAGGAGAGAACTGGGCTCACGCGATAGGGTAGTGAGATTTTCGCGATTCTCCTCTCCGCGAGCAGGATTCACCGCCCGCAACGGGACTCCACCTGTTTCAGAGGCATTTGGGTTACAGGTGTGAGGTGCGAGGTTGGAGAATTCTTGTCATCTGAAATGTTGACGAGCATGGGCAAACAGTGCCCATCCCTTCCATCCTCATCCTCGCGATCCATCCCGAGTCAGCGCAACTAAGAACCTGCCCGCTGATAAACGTTGGGGAGAGATGTGTGTTGTGAAGTCTCGCTCTCCTCGAGACAACAACATGAGGTCGCGGAATTGTTTCGAAAACTCAGTCGCGTTCCGCGTCAATGAGACAGGATCCTCTATGGAGAGACCTATGGCCGGTCGGAATTCATCGTATCCCGTCATATCCCTGATCAAGTGAGACGCTTACAGTCCATATTCCGTGCTCAGTACCTTTGCGACTCCGTGAGTTGAATGTGCGAGGGGATCACCGAGAAGGACAGGAACAACAGTCCACCGTTCGCGCCCGAGCTCGGCGGTCAGCACCATCAGTTGAGCCGGTCTTTTTCCTTCTGTTAGTGAACTACCGGCCGCTTCTCCCGTCACTTGATCAGGATGAAGCGAAACGTATCGGAAACGATCGAGGAGCTGACCGACGAAGAAAGAAAATTGTACGATCGACAAATTCGACTCTGGGGTCTGGAGGCCCAAAGACGACTGAACAAGTTCAGAGTTTGTGTCGCCGGTAAGATGGATACTAAATACTCTGAGAATAAGAATCTCCGTACTCCCACCTGGGAGCGCAGTGAAACAAGTCCGGGGACTGACCCTGATCTGAGTTTTTAGGAATAATCTGATGGGTTCCGATATTTTCCAGGAATGACCGGCCTGGGCGCCGAAGTGGCGAAAAATGTGATTTTGGCGGGAGTGGCCCAAGTGACGTTGATGGATCACAAGGAAGTCCTAGAGAATGACTTCAGATCTCAGTTTATGGTATGCGCTCCAAGTATGCTGATACACAATAATCATGCCGCCCTCCGGGCGCGCCGCCAGAGATTCTCGGATTTGGATGCTCTCGAGTATTGTGTAATGATCTTTTGCTTTCTCTTAGGTGAAACCGCAGGACCTCGGCAAGAATCGAGCTTCCGCCTCCTTGAGCTATGCGCGTCGTCTGAACCCGATGGTGAAAACGGAGGCCTTGGAGGAAGACATCCTGGAGAAAGACGACAGTGCTTTCCTAAAACAATTCGATATGCTTGTGGTTTGCGACATGATACCACTGAAGCGCGCCTTCGACCTTGACGACCGCTGTCGCAAAAACAACGTCAAGCTCATCTTTGGGCATGTTCTCGCCGGAATGGGTTTCTTCATCAGCGATCTCATGAATTTCGATTTCGTCGGTGAAGTGATCAATCACTTGAAAGATGGCAAACAAGTCAAGAACGAACCCATGAACCGTCTTTATCCTCCTATGAGAGAAATTATGAACGTGCGATACGTGAACAAGAGATCCGGTGCCGCACTCACGAAACGTACTAACAAATGCGTACTCCAGCTGTATCTACTTCTCGAGTTCTATAAAGAAACAGCAGACTCCATACCAACGAAGGAGGACCTGGAGAACTTGCTCCCGAAAGTTGCCGAGAGACTCGGAGCTCCGGAAGAACGATTCGAGATCGATTTATTGGACGAAATTCTCAGCCACGAGCCGGGACCTGTCGCTGCCACTGTAGGCGGCGTACTCGGCCAGGAAGTTGTGAAGGTTGCATCTCAGAATTGTGTTCCATTCCACAATTCCTTCGTTTTCGACGTGGATACTTGTCAGGGTGTCGTCGAACTACTCAAATGAATCCGAGAGCTCGGGAGTATGCAGCCGCTCCATGAGAGCAGCCGTGAACCATTCTTGTTCTATTCCCTCATAATCCTTCCGTTACCAGAGCACAACATGATCCTCGCAAGAAAGTGAAAAATAAGCCTTTGAATGATTATCCAAATATATATTCGTCTCGATATCCGCGTGACAGACTGCTGCTTTCACTCTTTAAAAAAAATTGTGTACAAAACCCAAGGGATGGCCAAACTCGGCTGACCATTAGCCTTTCAAGAGTTCATCCAGAGCTTTATCTCGATCACTATTGTGCAGTTTGAGCGCAACTGCAATGTCACCTTTCGGGAATCCCAAGTCGGTCAACTGGGCCATGTTTTTCAAAAACTCGCGCGACTTATCGAGATCGTGTGACATAAATTGTAGAGCTTGGCTGACATCGGGCGCCTCGAAACCTTCGCCGACGAGTTTTTCGAGTAAACACAGATGGTCCACAACCTTGCCCTTGTCGTCGCCCAAGTCCATGACAGCGAGCGCAACGCGCGAGGCTGGGAATCCCATCGAACAAATTTCCCTGAAATTGAGCGGAGAAGATATTTTTGAGCTACTGGATTCCGCTCCAGGATTTCTTCCTGGCTCCTCTTTCCGAAAACTCCGGAATTCTCCATACTGTCGAGAGCTCAGGTTCCCTCACCTCGCTACGGCTTGGTGTTTCTTCGAGAGATCTTTGAAGGGATCGGTGGGACTCGGCGCGGGGACCGCGGCCTGCGCTCCATTAAGGTTATGATAATGGTGCGGGGAGCCCGAGGGAGCTGAGGAATGCGCTTGACCTGCAATGTATGTGATTATACAGGAATAGTGGCCGGACTGATATTTTAGGAAAAGACATCCGGGTTCCGATCGCGATCAGAAAGAACTAAACGGACTCGCGATCTCACCTATTTTCTTCAACTGCTCCCCGTCGAATAGATTCTTCATGGAGCTCAGCTCGCTCGTCACCCTTGGCTTGCTCTCGAGGTCGGACGCGGAAACTTTCACTCCGCCGAATATCGAGTGGAGTTCTTCGAGATCATTAATCGTCTGCAGTTCGACTTGATCGAAAGGACTGAAAGCCTCCGGTTCGAACTCCGTGATGCTTATAGTCGTGGGCGGCGTGGGCGGTGAAGTTCCTTCTGGACTGGCAGAGCTTGAGGGTTGAGACGGTGTCAGTGTTGTGAATTCGCCTACGGGAGCAGCCGTCGTTGGTCTGAGCGCCTCGAGTTTCGCCTGACTTTCCCTGTAAGATCGACAGGGGGTGACTTTCGTTCTGAGAATCACACGGATGTTCAAGCGTCTCGCCACGAATTCTTTTCTTTAATTCCACGGACTCACCTCAGATTCTGAGCTTCTTGCAGCACTCGATGCTCGAGGGAGAAATCGTAGTCTTGCTCGAGGCTGGCCGGGAGATCAGTTTTGAGGAAATGTGAAGGTACCGTGATTGCTTTCGGGGGTCTCAGAGTGATTTTCACCGGTACCCCGTCCAACGGATGGCACTCTCGACGCATCATGGCGCCACCTGCAAATGATAAAGATTCCGTTCTCATCGAATTCCTGGCGGAGGGAAGAATTCATCCAACTGCTCTCCTTGTGGGCCTCTTGGGTAAGATTCCGACACGGGCCATCGGAGTTTTGAGTCTGACTCGAATTCTCCTCGATTGGCGTCGGTCGGACAATATTCTCGCCGCAACCTGTAGTCGAATTCCCCAACGATATTCGCGGACGAAAGCCGAGTCGGAGCGCTCCTCTATTCTCAGGTCAGAGGCTCGTGGGGGAACTGCATTCAAGCGCTGATCGGACTGATCACGGAATGACTCACCTATCCGTAGCAAAATCTTCTCATGAAATCGGAGACAAACCTGGGACATAGAATGTTGGTGGGGGAAGGGGTCTTTTTGTCCGGAAGAATTCGGCGGGTCGACTCATGATTCGTTTGAAATCTACGCCTCTCCGTCGCTCTTCCACCGGAGCTTTCATCTTAAGTTCTTCTCCTTTCATGCCACACTTTCCAGCTCCATAAGGAAAACTCACTTTTGAAGGAGATAACCGATGACCTCAAGACCGTCTACTGTGAACCTCGATCCGGCTTGACCATAAGCGGAACCAGATAGTGGTTTCCGAAAGATGATTCCGACTCTCAGCTGTTCGTTCTCCCCAACTGCTCGTGAAGTTAAGTGTTGTCTTTAGGAAGAAGGGACCTCCGTTCGCTGTTGTGTAAGCAACGGAGCAGCAGACAGAGCAGACGACGTTCTGTGGCGCGCGCGGCTCGCTGCTGACTCCCCCAACAAGTAGGGCGGAGAGTGAAGAGGATGAAGATCTTGCCTCTAACGCTCTCTCCTGCGAGGAATGGTCCGAGGATTGGGGCAAACGAAATCTCATAGATCCGATCGGCAATCACTTGACGTTTGCACAGTGAGTTTGTGGCGTGAAGAGCCCGAAACTCCCATTGGTTCTCGAAACGACGCCTCGCCGACGTTTTCAGGAGGGATATCAATCTCCCTGTCAGGGGTGCTACTCGCTTCTTGCTGACCAGAAGGAGCCGCTCCGTGTTATTCTCGCCATGAAGGTAGTGGGCTATACATCTCTGGACTATTCACTGCGGGTATTTTCTCGCTTGGGGGAGGTCACAGCAGATGCAGTGAAGACGAAGTAGGCAATGTTTCCGCGTGATACGGGGAGTTCACTCGTATTTGAAGACCTCTAACCGCGTCGCAGAGGAATTCGCCGAAGGTTTTTTTTTCCGAAACATTCCGGAGGCCGGTGAAGTTCATGGTGTGATTCTGTCATGGCGAGATCTGACGTCATTCACGGAGTATCTTCGAGAAACGAGAAGTAAATATTCCGGAACGTGCTCCGAGTCTTCAATGTTGAGAATGGCGGAATGTCCGAGCTCGCCACCTTACAGGCAGTCGGGGGCCATAATCTCGAGATGAAATGGAAGGGTCGTACATAGGGTCCCCCGGGCGAGCCGACACGAAGGTGGGCCACTCGTCTTGGGTCGCTTTTTGGTGGCTCCGGATGAATTGTCTATTCATCTGACGGACTTCGCGCGTTCCACGATGGGTCGGGGCTCGAGGAAGCTCTCTTGCCTAGAGTTCTCTCGAGAAATCCGGGAGGAAGCATCCTCTGTGAGGCGGAATGGGAGGGGGCGAAGAAGGTTGAATATGGACCCGCATATTGCAGAGAGCCGTTCATCCCTGTTGGAGTCGCCGAAGGTGTGTACGCAAGGCCGAAGGTCTGTTCGGAAGGCCGTAGGTCATGGAAGATCTGAAGCAGGATGCCCTCATGATGAATGTTTGAAAACCAACACGAGAACCGAGAAGAGAGGAATGTGTGAGATTCCTAACTCGAAAACACCTCGCTCCTCCGGGTCGAGATATGCGCCCGGTGAAGCGATTCGATTCCGGGATGTTTCTCGCTTTCAACGAGACGTCGACCATCAGGAGCGCCTTCTATTCACCTGGGCTCGCACACTCCGCTCACGGTCATTGAAATCCGACCTGTCGGGACAATTGAGCTCTCTCACCTCAAGCTGGTTCTATACTTTCGTATTGTTCTTGACACTCTCGCAATCTCTGAAGGATAAGCGCGAGAGAAGGGACACGGAAAGCGAACTTCATGAAAAAGATTCCGGAGCCGGAAGCCCGACCGGGAGGCGAGCTCCGAACCATCGTCCCGGCCAGCGACTCGCGTAGGCGCGGGGCGAGCAAGGGCGGCTTCGGAGTATTGTTGGAGTATCTTTTTCGCCGGGTCTTCTCGCTCGTTGCTCCCGAACTCCCCATCATCATCATCATCATCATCATAGGATAGGCTCTCTTGAAGCCAAATACTCCGCAGCGAGGTCAACTGGCCAACTTTGGTTGCATGCATAATTTTCTGAAACTTCCCGGGCTAACAAAAGACTTCATCACCAAGAAACGCGGCGCTAGCCCGGGGGAGGCGGCTAGTCGGTCGGCGAGTCCGACGCAGCTTCGTTCTCGGAATGTCCCCGAGTGAATCAGGAGACTAACGATTCTGGGTCGAGAGGTTTGTTGCAGTCTTGATATTTTGAAGGTAACGCTCACTCGCGATCGATGCTCCTCGACATCCTCTGAAAATCATACGTCCCGGACGAAAGTTCTCGGAATGAATATTTTCCGCTCCGAGAAGGCATCTTCTTCTGTTTCCCATCGTTCCGAGGTACTCGGAATCTAAGACCGTGGGGCCAGGCTGTTTCCGACGAGCGATTTCCTCTTTCGAGATGGACCTGCGAGGTCATCAGAAGACCATCTGTTTCTCACGTCCATAAGTTAGACAACACGTGGGTAGCTCAAGCACATCAAGAGTGGAAACAGAGTCTCTCCTGATATCAGCTGATTCGAACATGTGGAGGAAACGTCTTGTGGGAACGAAAAAGACGAAACTAGGAGGCGTCGCATCGCGTGGGATGTGACTCTTATTCAAATAGGTGAGACGCTTCGTGAATTTTCAGAACTCTCGGGGCTGTCCAGACTCACGAAGGTCAGTGGGATTGTCGCGTGGATCTATTCACGCTGCCGGTTCCATCTACTCGATGAGATAGACCTTGATCCTTTAAGTCGGGAGCGCTGAGTTCGTAGCGAGCGGGGTAAACGGACACAGAAACTTGAGCCTTCCTGTTCACCTTCGGAACATTGATGCGATTGTGCGCTGTGAAGCCATCACGAACGTTGAGCAGTAGATAATGACCGTGTCTGCTTTTCCCGGGGGACTTTTTACGGAGTAAATAGTGGCTGCTCGTGCATGGAAGGATCACTCGCTGATGGGTATTGTCTCGTTCCGAATGGAGCTAGTGGAAAAAAACACCGATGAGAGGGACATCCCCATTGAGCGTCGAGGAACTAGCATCTCCGCAAACTAGCATTATTGTGTGTCCCCTCACTATACCTGTTGAGGATATTCGGTGGGGGAGGTCGGTATTCTGTAGTCGCCGCATGCCTCCTCTGGATCTGAGAGCCTCTTTTCCCCTTAACTAGACGGAAATCGACCTGAATTGAGCTCCACTCCTCGCACAGTGAAGTTCATTGAACTGGGTCAGATGGAAGATGTCAACGGAGAATACGATCGATCGTACACGACCGAAGTGAGTATCGCCACCAATAATCGTAACCTTTGGATCAGTCCGGGACGGTGCGCCGCTGTACCGTGCGCGTAGCGCTCGCTCGCGGCTCCCGGGAGATATTTTTGATGTAATCTCAATAAGAGAGCGCTCCCCATAGTTTCTAATATCTCGCCCCACTGGAGCCATTATTGATCCAAGTCATTGCTGCGCTCCCCGGGAAAGGAAATCGAATCCCGCCCGAGTCCATTGTGACTTCTGACCCATCAGCGAATGGGTGGAGGCCACCAAGTTGTGAAGACCCATACCCTAAAAATGACACTGATTTGAGCGGAGCGGGATCAAGAAGCTTCCGGACATTGATTTAATCGATTCCAATGGTGGTAAGTTCTGCGTTGCGACCGGCCTCCGGGAGAGAAACCCGGTATAGAACACGTGAATTAGAAACGGTTTGATCCTTCTGTCCTTTAAATTAGACTACGTAGTCAGTGGAGCCATTCGAACCAATTCCGCTATCGATGACTGAGGAGCGCATGAGATGTCAGTTCTCACAGACATATCGTCTCGGGTACTGAAGTTGTATGTACGGATTGATGAATGAACAGACGTGCCATATAACGGGTTCGCCAGCGATGGCTATCTCCACGTCCATATGAGTTTTACGATGTTCGAATTTCGGTTTCGAATCGCTCGCGCCGGAAGCGGTCTGAGAAGGATTTCGCCGAGGTGAAGAGCTCCGGATGAGTCCTCACCGAAGTTCTCTACCTGTTTCCAGGACAGAACTCCACCGCTCGTCAGTGACGAGTTCATACAAATCGAGCAAACACGGGAGATTAGCGACCTGCAGAGACTGGAGGAGGAATACACGCACTCATCGTCCAATTCGTATATACGGTATGGACCGCATCTCGTGCATCAGATACCCCAGCAGTACGACCATGTGAGTAGGCACACAGTTTCTGATGATTGTTCTGAGCTCTTTGTGAAGCCTCTCGTGAAACATGAATGCTTCAATGCGCGTCATTCATGGCAACAGCGTCTTTTCCCTCGGGTGCCGGGCGAACTGCTCGACGCCGATATCGACAAACTGCGCGAACATCAATCGAGCATGTCAACGATTTTGAAAGAAGCTCTCGCTAAAAACTGTCTTCTGAGATACAGAGTGTTTGATGGTCTCACGACAAAAAAACTCACTCAGTCCGTGACAGGGCGGGAAGGAACTGCTCGAAGGATGGATATCAGGAGAGCGTTGGAAATCGAGATAAAAAAAACGAATCACGTTGCAGGTATCCACTTCGGTTGTTCTTCGTTTCTGTAGGACGAGGGTCCTTCGCTCGTACTATCGTCTGCTTTCGGCTGTGGGCTGGAGACCTGTTTTGAATGAAACAAATGCTAACGGCGGATCAGGTGCGGCTTTTATGCGCCGCCTGCTGAACGTACTCTATTCGCTAACAGCAATGATCTTCATCGTGGCGGGTCACGTTCTGGCCTACATCACCGTCTACCGGAGGGACTCCATGGACAACACAAGGTCAGGCTCGCGCACTAATTTACAACAGCTGCTCGTTCTCGACCACGCTCACCCCATGATTTCATATATTGTTATTGTTCCGTTTGTTTCGATCTATCTATTCATCATCAGAGCAAAAACGTACGCCCTTCCGGCTATCAGGCGCTGCATCAGAGCCCCCTTTTGGGCTCGGTGTGTTCACTTCACGAAGTGGCCTCGACCCATTGTAAAATTAGATGCAGGGCTGATCGAGTGCCGAAAAAATGAGCCATATCAGAATGTCGACGCCCGATGAAGAGGGGAGGGCGACTGCATGGGGTCGAGCTCCGGGAAATCGGTCTTCCGGAGACCCGGAGGAGATTCGAGAGGCGGGTATACTAAAGTCTGATTCCTGCTGGGGAAGCAGGTATCGGAATCAAGTTGATAATCCCGTCGGTACGATTATTTGCGAACAAGATCCCCCTAGGAGCGATTTGATGGAAGTCCCCAGAGAAACATGATCACCTGAGCTATTCTATTTTCGACATTGAGGTCCACGGTAAGCTTCCTCGTGCTGTTGTGCCAATACTCGATGGAGTCGATTAATGAACGGACACAAATGAGCTATGGAATAGTTCCTACTCATTTTTACTCGACACATATCAGAGTGGCATGCAGCCTCTAGGGCGGCCGCCGCGGCGATAATCCCACATTCCTCAGTCAGAACGGATGCTGATGATAATCTGCTCCTCAACATCTATCGACGAAATCCGAGGCCCAAGCTTGAGGAGCAGCCTCGGATACTCCAAAATCAGAAGAAACTCGCATGGGCCCTCCAATTGATGAGAAGCTATGATTTTAATGATCTGCGTCTCCAGAAATGTTTCTGTCGAGAATCGGAGCATTCCATTAGCACCAGGGACGCGCTTACCGAAGGTCGTGACGTTCCGATTATTAGACCTGGACCTCTTCCGCAAGAGGTATCTCAGAATGCACATACAAGTTTCGGCCAGATTCGAACGCTATTCTCGAAGAATTCCGCGTCTGAGTGAATGCCTGGGACCGGATTAGGCCTCAACCCAAACTCGGAAGCTACGTGAAGAGAATTTCCCAAACTTCACCGAAGAGAGACTATTTTGAATTTGCTCCGGATTTCGGGAGCTCCCTCCGATCTCACTCCGCGGATGGGCCTCGGCTGCCATGCTCCCTCCGCGATTTGTTGTTCTCGGGTGGCGGATAAGTGACTGCGTGAATGCTACGCGTTGAGCGTATCTCAGGATAAGTCTACGAAGACCAAACCCGTTTGAGGATTGTCTCTTGAGGGAGTTCTCCAAGTCCAGGAGAGGTTCTGGAGCGAAATATACATATTGACGGACGTATGTTCCCTTCAGGCTCCTGGGTGCAGCTTGATGACCGTGGAGGAACACCACATTGCCTTGCAATCGACAACTGAAATCCAACCGTACAGAGTTGATAAGCATAATTCTGGAGCTCCACGGCAGAAAAAAAGGCGCCGACCCCCCAGAGGGATCAGGTTGTACAAGGAGCGCAAGGGTTGCAAACTGACTCGAGCACGTGCTTGAGATATCCATTGCTGATCCCCACTTGTTCCGAGGCGTCGTCAATTGGTGATATGCAGTATTCTGTTGCCACGCAGTCTGTGCGCCTCCGCGACGTTTGGTGACGGCTGAGCAGCGTAAATCATGGATGATCTCGATTCATCGAGACCTGTGCCGCTCCTATGACTGAATGCAGCGGTAACCTCCGCTAAGATCTAAGCGGGAACCCTCGACATGAGATGCAGAATTCAGGGATGCGGGAGTAGACGGATCTTTTGTGAAGAAAATTGGCTGAGAACTCAATGTTCCGCCTCACTCTATCTCCCTGATGGTGCAAATTAGTCGTCCGTGAGCGGTCATTCGAATCGTCATCTGGGTGAGTCGAGACAGTACGTTGGGTTCAACTCCGAGGATCGAGTGGTCTCCACGCGTTTCTTCTCGAATCGCTGGAGGAGTGCCCGAACAGGGTAACCTGAACCCTGCTCATGGACAGTGCTGTGCGCCGTGTCCAGGACGCCGCACGCGGCGCCAAAGACTCAGTGCTTAAGCGACATGGCGCGCCGCAGCGCTTCAGCATTGATTCCATGGGACTTGCAGAACTCGGCGCGGCGCACCGCTCTGCTCATGGACCCGTTTTCGCGTAAGCTGTCCCAAAACTCCAGGAATCGAGGGACACTCATGTCAGGGACGCAAAAGTTACACGTGGCTCAGTATGATGCAGGCGTCCGAACGAATAGATTGCCCAGCCAAATGGGTACGAAGCTCACCGGTCAAGTCGGATCTCCATGGAGGAATAATTTTAGAGTGTTAAAACTTCACTTCGAGAGTTCGGTACTGAAGGACATGCGATTAAGCGGTCACGGGAAGCCAGTAGGATTCTCATCCACGTTGATTTACTTTTTCGAAGCATCAACCGAGACTTCTGTTCAGGACGCAAAATTCGGTTGTCCCGTTCCGAGTGTGGGGTCAGACAGCTCTCGCCGGATCCATCACGTCGACGATTGATTCAGGGTCAGGGGAGCTCCCAAGGAGGAGGTCAACTCGCTCGAAAGTCCCAACTCTCGCTGGTTATCGTAAGGTCATCGAACGCATCGCTGAGATCCGGCAACTCAGAGTCAAATGATCGCTTAGGCTCTCACCTACGCCCTCACGCGAGAGCTACTCAGAAATTCTGATCATCTCATATCTAAGGCTTAAGTCAGGACAAAGAGACGATGGAATCGATTGAGATGCTCAATCTTATACATATGTTCGGACGATCGTAAGCTCAAGCATACTTTTGACACTTGCTTAGCGCAAGCGCTTCCGAGCTGATTGCTCTATGGGTGACCCGAGGTTGGTCGGCCAGCGAGGTCAGTATTTGATATCCTTGTGATAATAATCGGCGAGGTTTCATGGATTTCTGGCGGTACTGCGTGTAGCCTCTTTGCCTCCTGATTCGCGTAAGCTCTCGGAGCCTCGCTTAGTCTCCTCCGACGTGCGCCCTCAAGAGCGTAGGAAAATCAGCGCGATGAGAGCTTGACGCCGTCCGGAGGCCGGACCCAATCGGTCGGATATGAGCAAGTATGCGATGAAGAGGTCGACGGCCACGGCCGCTGCCTAGGTATTGTTTGATAAACGAGGAGACTAATAGTAACGTTAGTTCGCCGCTTGCTCGGCTGCCTGTTGCGCGATAAGCATCTGGCTCTCATTGAGTGGACCGCGCTCAGCGAGGAACGTCGTCTGGGGACGCATCAATAATTTAGGCGTTTCTCTTGTTCCTCCGGAGCAAACATCCGCCATGCACTGACTGAGTACGAGAGAGTGAACGAACAGGCTGGAACAGCTTGCCAATAATGTCATTCGTTGAATGGCGGCCTCGATGTGCTTCGAGTCGAAAGAAAACAAATTACGATCGGATCAGCGAATTGTCGAGAGCCGTTGCCCGATTGAATCTTGTTGCGGCGTTCTCGATTTGGCTCTAGTCGGATGTCTTCTTCTGATGGCGTCCGGCCCTTGATGACGACTTCCGATCAGAGCCTTCCATGTCTTGCCTCATTCGGGAAGAAATGCCCTCACACGGAAAAATTCTTGGCACGGAATTCTCATTCAATGATGAGAACTTGTGGGCAAATTAGAATCGACGAGACTTGAAAACGGGATGGGGAGACGAGGATTCTCAGATCACCCATCCGGGAATGATGTTCTTTCTTTCGAATATAGAGGAGGGTGATCGTACGAGGGAAAACAGCAAGGTACACGCCCCTGACCTGAAATATTTCCGACGAAGGATTCGCTTTTCCAGATGTATCGGTTTTCACTCGAAATACACGGAGCGGCCTGGAGGCTGCTCGCTTTATATATTTTCGGTTTATATCCTCCCCGGAGTGCTGCACACGACGGCTTACGCGGCGATGCTCTTCCAGATGAGAAGTCAAGACAGTGAAGAATTCACTGCGCTCGTCGAGAGGGTGAGTGTCTCTCCATTAATTTCCAATTGGAGAAATTGAGTTTCTCCCTTGAGCCAGACGCCCTGAGCGCGATGCACCCGCCCTGGAGTCGGACTCGAGTCGGTCAGACAGTCGTTGAGCTGCTCTCGCGAAAGTCATCATGAGTCGTGCTCGAAGCCTGCCTGTTTGCGTGGACGGAAGCTCTCGGCGAAGCCATCAAGACTCCCGTCGTTTTCGGTTCTTCTCCGATATCCCGTCTATGTATATGGCTCGTGTATATCACGCGGCTCTTACACACACGGGCACATGCGATGCTATTTCTCCGCCGTGTATCTCACCGGCGTCGTCGACGATGCGTGGAAATGACACCCGCCTCATCCTGCTGCGGTCATAGTGCGACCTCGATAAGGAAAGGAACTATTTACTGGATGTGCAACTCCTGAGAGCCTTGTTTATCAGTCGCAGGAACCCACGATGCGACTGGTGGCAACCCGAAGATTCGCCTGTTGAGCCTCGGCTTCCCCCTCTCCCCCCGCTAATTAGTGACCGCAGAAGATCATCGTTAACTCCCTCGAGCGCTCCAAGCCGGCTCCTTGAAAGCGGTAGCTCGGAAATTATTCGCGTCCAGGTACAAAGTCTCTCTCTCTCGAGAATTCTGTTTCCAGGACCATATGAGCACGAGAGGCTGTGAATCGATTCACCATCTTGACAATAGTTTACACGGTATGTTCCGTGAAAAGCATTCGATGAGGCCTCGGTATTCGGGAAGGGGGAGGGGCGTCTCGAGCCGCGAGCGAAAAGTGATAATCTGCGGGTAAAGACGCCTCTTTGATCGCGGAAAGCTGCTCAAGGAATGGGGAACATTGATGCGGAAGGAGCTTCGAGCCCCGTGAGGTCCCGGACCCCTCTGCTCGTTAAGCTGCTTCGTGCCGCCTCACACTCGGGGATGAAACTGCGATCTCGATGAGGCCACGAGAATTCGCTCTCTTGGCTTGGAACGGCTTGGAGTTGCGATTAGAGAAATATGCGCTGCTCTCGCCTTCATCGAGAGAAATTGAGCTGGAGCTCACTCTCGTGTGTCCGCTTGCTCTACGGTCCATGGGTCTGCTAACTCGTGATATCGTGGAGTCGCAATCGATTTTCTCAGAATCTCCTTGCGTTGCAGGTGTTCCTCCAAACCACTTCGGTGTGGCAGATCGCCCGCCGGAAGATCCAGGAGCGGTTGAGGGCTGTTTACATCGCGGGAGGCTTATGGATCCTGTTGGCCATAACGGGGAACGTGATTAATTTGTATTATAGATTGAAAAGTAGGCGAATCAGTTGCACGATGGATGACTACCCGATCATCGCGAGTCTCGTGCTCGGTGAGTTTCTGTTCGGCTATCCCGAACTTCTACGACGAACGTCGGCTCCGAATCACAGCCTCTCCGACTTATATGTAATAAGTGCAGGGCTAGCGCAGCTTCCATTTTCGATCGCAGGTGGGTTGAGGGGTGCGGAGATCTCATTTTGCTCATTGGCTGGAAGCCTGATCATTCGCTTATTCCCTCCGAGCGCTCTCGTGCTCGGAGCTGCGAAGCGTGACTGGGAACCGTAAACGGAATGAGCGCATGGGCTAGATCAGCCTCCACCGACGATGTGATCCACGATTTTAACCTTGCGACATGGCCTTGACGACCTGTGATCAACTTATACGGCGTAGGTTGGTCGCGCAGACGACGGAGAAGGAGCTCCTCCGAGGGACGAAAAGCTTCGATTGAGATCACGTACAGAAATGAGTGTTCCTTTGGACGACACATTCGGAGCATGCCCCTTCGAATTAATGTTTCATTTCGCCGGACAGCTCGTTTCCTCAAGGCCGAGGATCCGACTGCCAGAGGCAGAGCTTCTTCGAGGCCACAAATTATGGATCCCGATCCCAGGTCTCTTCTCGTCGATGGAACCGTGTGACGCTTCGCATTTACCCCGCTGAGAGAGCAATGAATATGCCGACTGGATTGAATTCGCTTGTTGACTTGATCTCATTCCTCGACGAGGAATTCCGGAATTCCCGATAGTTCCTGAATCCGATTGGCTGCGCGTGGGCCACTCGCTGGAGGGTCACGAGTCGATGAAATCGAATTGTGCCCTCAATAGGGGGTAGGAATTGCGATTTGAAATTCCGAACGTGACCGGAGACACTGTGTTTGCACTGAGGATGCGGAAAAATCGTTCTACCTGGTCATCGATTTCTAACATGGCGGAGGAACGCTCCGTTTTCTCTCGTTTGATCTCGCTTCCCGCAAACGGAGCGACTTCGAGCATCCGGACCAGCGCCAGCATGAGCCTCTCCCTCACCTCCCAGAGCTTTTAGCAGTTCACTTCGGTCGTGTGCATCGGGAAATTTTCTCCCTGGGCTCCGAGACGGAGCTTCCAGACCTTGAGTCCGTCCGAAGTCGATCGAGGTCCAGGCGGACGCCCTAGAAGAGTCGCCATAGGGAATGAGCGGCTTCGGCTCTGAGGCCGATCGCTAGTACATATGAGTTAGACGTCGGCGAGCGTCCGAACCGTTCCGGAGTGAGGCGAACGCATTAGAGTGGTCCGAACGGCTATTCGCAGAGCGCTCCAGCGTCGGCTTCATTGTGAGAACTCCCCAGGGCCGAGTTCGAAGAGAGCGTCACTGATTCGGTCTTCCGAGAACAAGAGATCAAGCATCCATTGAGGGATGAGTGATTCGATTAGAAATCGTATCAGAAGCGAGAATATGACAAGAAAGAGGATTCTGTCACTCGGGAAAGGTCTTCTCTTTTATTTGTCATATAATTGAGAGAGGAGAAAATCTTCGACTTGAAATTTTCAAATTTCATTTATGCGGTCCGTCTTGACTAGGCTGACGACGTCAAATCGGGATGACAACTGTGGAGATTCTGTTAGTAGTAGCCGTAGCCTCGATGGCCGTATCCGCCGCTTCCTCCTCCTCCTCCACCACCTCCTCCTCCTCCACCGCCGCTTCCTCCATAGCCGCCGTAGCCTCGATGACCGTATCCTCGATAACCATATCCTCCTCCTCCACCACCACCACCACCACCACCACCTCCTCCACCACCGCCGCTTCCGCCGTATCCTCCGTAGCCGCGATGTCCGTATCCTCGTGACCGTACCCTCCGTAGCCACCTCCTCCGCCACCTCCTCCTCCTCCTCCGCCGCCGCCACCTCCTCCTCCGCCACCGCCGCTGCCACCGTAGCCCCGATAGCCGTATCCTCTATGACCGTAGCCTCCGCCGCCACCGCCGCCGCCGCCGCCTCCACTACCTCCGCCTCCACCTCCGCCGTATCTTCCGTAATGCCCGTAGTGGCTGGCCGTAGCGAACGCTGCGCAAGCCACAGCCACGGCGAATATGAAACAAGCTCTCATGTTTTTTCTGAGACTCGCCGCAGTTGCTGCTTCTGACCGAAACGCGCGTTCATTTTATAGCTCCCCGCTCGCTCAGCCGGCCACGACTCGAATGGGAAAAAGCCTCTTGAAGAAGCAAACCACGAGTCCACCCGTTCGCGACAAATAGTAGAACAACAGAAGCATCCAGAAACCACCGTGTGCCAAAAAACCATTCGCCAGACACCAACGACAAAACCAGAGCGAATCATTCAAGCAATGCCTGCGAACAAAACCCGGTACTTTATTTTGGCACGCAGCCACCCGAAAATAGAAGTGAACTTCAACTCCGAAGGGCAAATTCGATCATTTTTCCCTCTCGCGACCTCAGCGCGGGTCAAGCGTTCCCATTTCCGTCGAGTTGTCGGGAAGAAGATTTCGATAGGGATCAAGATGTTTCTACCGACCCTCCTCCTGATGACTCGCGCTGAGATTTCGCCAAACATTCAATCAGAGAATCGATCTCCTTCTTCACGCAGTGTTCGACACGAATGCCGCGGAGATAAGTAGAAACAGAACTTGTTTGAAAAATCGAGTTCCAAGGACGGACATGCGGAGTGCTTTCCCAGGGATATCGGCTGCCGAGATTTGGCGCGTCCCCCCGCAGATGAGCCCTCCAGCCGAATATCCGATCGGGCCCGGGACGACCGTAGAGTTCTGCAATAATTACAGTGGCTCTGCCGACTCAGCAACCTGCCGCTTGCCTGTGAAATGGCATACACAGAATTCGTCCGTCGGGGGTCAGATCAAACGTCGCAGGCGGTCAGAGAGGCAGACAGGGACGCATCATCAGTCCCGAAGTCGATTGAGTCTGAGCTACGATTGCTCGTACTGTCTATTGTCTTTTTCCCCCTTCCTGCGATTCTCAACTGCGATATACTATCCCGTATTGAAGGATGTTCTCGCATCGATCAAGTTTACAAGGGGATCGAGAGGTAGCGAGAGGTAGAACATCAGTCAGGCGGAGAACGTTCGAGACGTATCAGGCGAACATAAATTCGAGGTCCCGAGAAGCCTGATAAATGCTTCACACTGACAAAAAGCGATGATCCTCTAGTCTCCTCGTGTCGTATGTTCAAATCCGCCACTAACGACGCGGAGTCATAAGGCTCTCCTACACGTCGCGCAGGTCGGCAAACCATTTAGAGCGATCTCTCTGCTCTCAAAGGTGAAGGATGACCCCAAAGAGTTACCCTAGAAGATGTCTGGACTCGACCTGTACTATCGTTTTAGCTTTTCCCATGACTGAGCATTCTTTTTTGGAATCCTATGGGAGCTTCCTAGCTGGGCCGTCGGCGAGTGGCATACTCGGAGCGAGATTGACGATACCACATTCTAAGCGAAGTGATTAGACAGCGGTCCATGCGGTGAATTCCACAAGAGCGAGGTGTCGGTATTCATTCCATGGTGACATGTGTACATATTCTGGCAAGAAATCAGTTCTCGATTCAGTAACTTTCTGGAACTTCGAAACAAACTCTCTAGACGATAAATTCTTCAATGGTTCTCACTCCGGCAGCTTACTTGGCGGCGATTGAGCCTTTTCCTCGTGAACAATGCCCCGGTCAAGGCCATCGGGAACGAGAGAACCCACCCTCAAGAGCAGGAGTTTATTGGTTTGCCATGATCTCGAGCATGGGAGAGAGCAGCGACGCGACGGCGCGGGAATAAGCGAACAACGGAGATGCGAAACTTCAATGAACAGACAAATTCAATCTCAACCCTAGGTGGTGGGGATCCTTGCCCGCAGAGGCGTCTCCTCTTAACGAGGACTTCGTCGAATGCCTGATGGGCATGCCGATTTCCGATCGTTAGATGAATGCCCCTAGATCCTGGCGATCATCGACCTTATGTTAGATCTCACGTGTCGGGGGTCCACAAAGGATGCGCCCTCGGAATCCCGCGCATGATCGAAACTCATTGATTGAAAGCGATGGGCGTAGATTGCTGTCTTTCCAAGAATATCCTTCGGGTGAAAGATGTGGAGGTCGCCCTGTGAGGGTCAAGAAACTGCAGACAATCGGTATCCGGCACCGATAACCACAGGAGGTTGAGATAATATTTTTCTTCTGATCGCTTGTCATAATACCGCAGGACTGCTTATGCACGACGTGGTTTCGATGAGCGTGGCAGCCGCATACACAATACACTGTCAATTGGCGTTGGTTTACGTGCAGAACCTACAGCAGCTGGTCAGAGATGGGAAAATCTCGTTATTGGCCTTCTACAAAGGAGTGAGCGAAGCCACATGCACGATACGCCAAGTGAACGGACTCCAATCCACGGCCGTCTTCCTGCAGACAATCTGGCTACTCATACGAACCGGGGCTTCAATGGTGAGTTGCCGCACGTACGATTTTCACGTATACACGCTCACATTTCTACTGTGATCAGGATCTCCGGGCACTCTTGCCTTGGGAACGCAGGTGTTCCCGCGGCTCCGCTCACACATCAGGCGAACCTTCCCATCGACTATGAATTTTTTGTGGAGGCGCGAGTGTGTCTGATCCGTAATCGAGTTCACGTCTGAGAGGATTCTCTCCGAATTCTCTCGGATTACCTACCCAGGATTGGAAATTCCTTCGACTCGGAGACGATTTCCCCGTCGATTGCATATCCTTCACTGATTCTGAACTTCTCCGCGATGTTTCAGGTGGGCTTTGTACAGTCGATCGACTCGAACAACTTTTTCCGATTGATCGTCGCTTCGATATCTACGTTGGTATGGGGCGCGCTGCTGATCATACCCCTCGGACAGGCGGCGAGACTCACCGAGGCATGTAAAGGAGTGAAAAATCTCGGTCGAGAACTTCGTGCTCGGCCGCTCGTGTATCAGGAAACGTCGCCCCAAGAACTCGACTCGTTGGTGATTTTCACGTCGAGTTTCGACCTCACATCGGAGCTCTGCTCAATCCGAATCACCAAGGAAAGACTCACCGTTTGCTGTCTTTTTTTCGCCGTGGGCGTCTATGGGAGCGCTCATTTCGACCTGTTGCATTTCTAGAATTAGATCCGAGCGGTCCCGGTCGAAGGTCCCCGGAATTGGTCCCTCGATCGGTGACTTCCCCGACAACCGATGAATGGCATATGGAATGACGAGCTGAGGTGTGCGGCTCTTATTCAAAAAAGTCCGAAGAACGATTTTGCTCTCATATTTTTCTCTCTGGACGCTGGAGCCTCGAAGCAACAACCTCGCTTTGAATCAAACCCTTATAAGAGTCGAGTCTAAATAAAGTTTCACACTTTTAAGGCGCATCGTTTCATGCCCACATTTTTTTAGAATCATCCATTCGAGAATCGATAGAAGCAGCCGCGAGTTGGAATCTATGGACTACACTCCAAATAAAGCTCACGGCAGAAAGGCGAATTCAAGCTCCGCTTCAAAGAGCCTAGAAATGGTTTTCTTGAAACAGTTCAACTTGGCATCGTCTGCAGAGGGGCTCCCTCGAGAGGAACAATATCACTCATACACAAATCGAAAAGAAGGCGGTGCTCGGTAGAACAGAAGACGCTCCTCCAAGAAGCCATGGACCGTACTTTCGATGGCGAACGAGCTATACACTACAGTTGCCAACAACGCGGTACATTCGACTCCTTCTTCCCGCAAGAACTCGTCTGATGAGAGATTCTTACACTGTCTTCCGTTTGATATCGCGATGAGATGACTTGCGCGTCGCTCTTCGGACGTTGAGAGAATGTTTGGCTCGATTGTCAGATGCGGCTCGAAGTTCGCCTTGATTCCGATATGCTTAAAACAGAAATCTGATTTGAGAGCACGCGGAATCGAGGAGGCCACGCTCCATCCGAGAAGCACGCCCCCATGAACGCGCTCTGCCAGCAAACTCAGTACATTAGAATTACGTTGAGGGTTCTGCCTGTTTCGGATCCGCTATTCAGGATCGTGACACGTCATTTCGTAAAGTAATCGTTACGGTGTCCCTTGACTCCCATTTGAGTCATTCCAGAGGAATTATCCTTCCACATATCCTCCGGGTTTCCCTTTCCCATCGCATAGCAGTCTTCTCGCTTCCCTCTTATACTTCTCGCCTCCGTGTTTGGTAAAGCCTAAGCTGTTGGACTGCTAACTACATTATTTGGAGTAGTGCGGGCGCGTTCCATGATCGTTCGCGAAATTGTTCCAGCTTCGACCCAAAGTTTCATGCTAAAAGGTCCGATCCGTCCATATTTCGCTCTGTTGGCGATGAAGACTAGGTTCGCTCTTTTGTCAGAGCCAGGAGGGCACTCCCTCGACTCTTCGGTGGAGTTCATCTGTCGGTGCCATTTTTTTTTCAATATTTGGATTGCGGAAGAGTTGGTGGTCCCCATCCAATGCGCGACGTGCCGCTCAACCATATCATTGAAAAGTTCTATCCTCGGTTAGTGATCCTCTGTGGGTGTGTCAGAGACGTAGTTCCGCATACGTAGACGATGCGGTTGTTATTTTTCTGTCGCCATCATGCTTGGAATCAAGCGTGGACCCCCGTCTACATCTATTCCACTTATTCTTGCGAAATATTGGATTTCACTTTGAGCTCCTCTCCCCCGTAAGGTGGACTGCTATCCAACTTCGCTTTGAACGATTCCAGATGCAAACTCATGCGTTCCTTGGCCCATGGCCCATGCCCCAGCGGTTCGAGCTTTTTCGAGCTCGGTCGTCTGATCTTCAGGCTCAGGATGCGAGCACCGATTCGACGCATCTGAGCTCCTTAGCCCCGAACGCTTTTCATTGTTTTCGCACCGCTAACTATCGATCGAAAGCCCTGTGAGATTAGGAGAGGAAATGTTTTCTCTGTATTGTACAAGTATGCCATCATCGAGTTATTCAGTTATTCCTGTAGGAGGGGGTAATTCGACCTGTCGCAAAATAAGGTTCCAAGATTTTTATGGACATCTCGGAACTCGAGTTATTCCCCCGTAATGTGAACGGGACTGAAGGTTATCCTCTGGAAAGTTGGAAAATTTTTCTCGAGACAGCCTTTCACTCATGGGAAAAAATGTATTCCAAATATGTCCAACAGCTGAGAATACTTGGCTCCTTCATGGATGTGTGTCAGCTCCAAGCCGAAAGATCGATGGACGATTCCCACCCGGAGAAGTTTCTCGGAGAAACTGATGATTCGGGAGTATTTTAGGGAGGATTCGGGCGTAGTCAGTTTATGGGGGAAATACCGTTAATCGTCTGGAATGTGACCGAACAGGGTCAGGCCATCCCGAGTCATCGAGAGGAGCCTCGAAGATCCCGCTTTCTGACAGAGTTCATGGATGACAGCCGTCAAGTTTCGGTTCAGGGTATCAGCTACTGTGGAGAACCGGAGGCTGACCCAGCGGGACAAGTGATCCAACGCTTCATTGTTCCCTCGAAGCTTCGGCTCGGTAGATTAGAGTCCCCGGTATCTATCTGTTGTTCTCGTCGTCGACACCAATGCATGTACGCCTAACAGCAATGTATGAAACGAGCTTACGTCAGCCTCCATCGACCCTCCTTTTGAAAGGGTTCGCACGGACGATAGATCTGCTGAACTCGGCTCAGAGCATCGGTCTTCATTGGAGCCGTGTGACCGCCAACAGAGTCGATGCAAGCATCCCCGTGACCTGGTGGATAACTAGATGGAAAATCTCTCGAGAACTCCGCGCTCACGCAAGCGGTCTATCGACGGAATACGGTGCACTGTGGGAGGTCCGTGGCTGCTCCTGTCGCCCGGTGGCTGACAGGATCGGAACACATATGAAGAGACATGAGGAGATAAAGGAGAGCGACTAACTTCTGATACCTACCATGAATCGAGTTGCAGGATAGCTGTCGTTCCTTTGTTCGATCGGCCGGTACGGGCTTCCTGGGATCGGTAAGGAGTCCATTCAACCTTGCTCCAACTAGGACCCGTGTGTGCTGCGCGGACGAATGTGAAAGCATCGATATATTATTCATAATTCAGAATCGCGAGGCTTGGAACGTGCATTGCCCACAAGAGAGCTTTCAAGTCAGCATATCGGAGGCTTGCCAGAGTCCTTCCTCCCGACGAGATTCCCGACGGAGAGAAGAAGTATTCTTGTTTGTGAGCAACTCCGTCCAATCCGGAAAAACCGGCAAGAGTTTCCGCACTGCGTCGGTCGTGAAGCGGAGGATACCTCAATAATTATACGTATGTATGTATATGTTTAGGGCTCAGCTTCCGGCGGCCGGGTGAGTGATCTGGATCTGAATTGAGTCTCGTCGAAGAGTGTCTTCGAGATACTAGACCGCGTACCAGCCATAGCCTGGGGGTGCTGCCGGCGTCGCCGGATATGTTGGCGTACCTACGAAAGGGCAAGAGGCGTGCCTAAGTGGCAAACATTGTCGGACCACTTGCAGACGCCGCTCGACTGAGACAGTGACCGAGGTACTGGCGGGAGAAGATATCGGGACAGAAGCAGGAAGGAGAGACAAATCCCTTTACGAATAGCCGAGACTATACAACTCTGACTGAGACTACAGCAAGCGGTCATATTCGACGGGAGAGGCCGCGGGAGGAGAAAATCGGTCACGGGAGAAGGGGACAGAGCTGTCGGCAGGGCAGACTAAAACGGTCCCGATGAACCGATCTCCGCGGAAGCGACCACGGGAGGCTACTCAGACCTAATCATTCGGTGGTCCTGCGTAGCTACCGACGACGGAAGACACTCGAAGGAGTTGCGAGGGACGAGCGTAGCCTCTCCTCCCCTTTACGATTCTCTGCGATGTTTTCCCGAGCATTGGCTCTCGAAATTCTCATCTCTCCGCGATCCAACGGTGTCACCAGACACCGTCTGGGAAAGGTGAATTCCAAGCTTTCGATGCTTCATATCCGATGCATATACCTCGCAGAACGGGCATCTTCCTTGATAAATGACAACCTGTGTTAGGAGCCGAGGCAGCCCTCGGGCGCAGGACCGGTTTGGGAAGGGGTGAAGGGCAAGAATGGAAGGACGCAGATGGGGAAGACGGGAGAATGTGCGAGAGATTAGAAGGCGGTGGCAGCAGCAGGGGCTCAAGAGGGAGGACGACTGGGTAGAGTTTTGTGGAAGGCCGCATGAGGCTCGTTGATCTCATAGTTGGGAGTAATTTATTCCCTTCTACAGATTAAAACTCCTCCTGCCAGGCTCAGCGCCGACTATTCCTCGAGTCATCCCGCGCGTTATCGATAAGCAGGAATTACGTTCGTCGATCGGCTTCACGCAAGCTCCGCATTTCGGAATCCAAGTTGACTAGTCACCGAGATTGTCTGGGTCGAGCTGGCTCAATTTCGCAATTCCTGGCGGTACCTACAATGAGTCCATCCAATCTTATCCCCACGAAATCGGAGTGACCGCTCGGCTCTTTCCACCATGGTAGGATCCCAGTATCTGATCCTAATCACGGAAACTGCTTGAAAGGTACCTAAATGGGACGATCGTCGTTACTCTAAGGAAAGAGTTCGGAGAGTGCTGCGTGCGCCACTGCCGCAATGCTCCCCGTAGGCTCAGCGAGCGCATAGTCGACACAGCTAATGAAACTCTTTCCCCTGAGTCTTCCCCAAATATTATTCCCAACCAGAAATTTCCGAGCGGATTCAGTGGATTTTTTTGGCAATTCATAAATAAGATTCTCCAGGGGGAAGATTACGTCCATCCAATATGACTTATATACCGACACATATTTCGGAGCCATGCACACACCTTCTCCTCGAGGAGCTCCGCGCTTTCTGTCCCGATGGGGGAGCTCGGAGAATTCCCTGTCAAGTCCGAATTCTTATTTTGGCTGCTCGTTGGTAAACTAGATGTATTCTCTGGACAGTGGGACTCGAAAGTGAAACTTTAGGCATCGCTTGAGAGTTTAGAACGTCGATGATCGTGTGCGAGATCTCGTTTTCTGGAGCAGGAAAACTCGAATTCTCGACAAGCCGAGTCAGGAATGTGGAAAATCCCGGCTGACCGTGAGAACATCCCAGGGGAGGGAGAAGGGGAAAGCTGAAAAAGGTTGCTAGCACCAGGGTTCCTGCTGTTATTCGG